AAAATTTCAGCTTCAAAGCTTGCACGGTTAGCGAGTTGAAATACCCGGACAGACGAACACACACACGCACACACACGCACACACACACGCACACAAACACACACACACACTGACAGGGTCGTTGCAATGTGCGTTTTTGCCTGTTGCAGCGCTCTAGCGCTGCACGGCAAAAACACATAAATCTTAGCTTGGACACATACTCTTTTCTCATTCGTCTCTTCATATCACATATAGGATCAGAAAACTCATCAGTAATTTCGTCCTCTGTGTATTTTGACAAAAGCTAATGTTACGAAAAGAAGACAAGTGTGATTTCAGACATCGCATAATGTCTTGTGGGAATGAGAAGTTAACTGCAAAATTTTACAGCTTGACTTAAAACCTTCGCTGAACGTTGTGGTTTGTAATTGCGCCAGAGGAAACGGAACATGAGTTTAAAATTTTACTTCTCTAATTTCAGCAAAGCGAACAGTAGAAGAACGGTCATTACTGCTTTTTGTTTTTTTAACTCTCAGAGTTCGTCGCTTTTTAGTCCGAGCTTTGGATCCAGATTCGTTATGATCTTATAATTCCGGACCCAGTGAGTCAAAAGATTTTACGACGCGTTCTTCTTTATATTTACTAACGCATGCATTTAACATGTGTTCGCTGCTACCTGTGAAGTGTGACCGCCACGGCCCTCAACTTGTCAATGTATCATTATCTGTTGGCCAGCATTATTACTGCACAGTTTACTTAGTAAAACAGTTTTTTTAACAGAGACGATTCGTGAGAAAACTTTGACGGATTCTGATTTCTTACGAGCAGCTGAATCGGATTGCTTGTCAAAGATTGCTTCCCGACCATTTTGTGACCAGTATTTTATTGTCGATAGGGAAAAAAAACCAAAATTCGCATGAGCTATTGATTTTATAGAAAAGCTCTTCAGTAGTAGTCTGACCACTTTCATTTACTAGATTCAAGAAATGCTCAGATGATGGGGAAAGGGGATCGAAGTGGACGTGCGACCACCCCAAACCACAGCTCCTCATTTTGCCGATGTATGCTGGACCGGGAACGAAGCAGCATTCGCAACGACAGCGATCAGCTGGAAGCACTCCTGGGCACTCTACGTTCCCGCTGTCCGGATGATGGGCGGTGCGTATTTAGCAGTGGCCCAGAGATGGCAATAGACGCCACAACTGCTGCCAGAGCACTCAGCGACACAACAGCGCTATCAAGCATGATTAACTCGTCTATACCCTCCACCGCCAATGGCTCTACCGTCTCGATCGAGGATCAGATCCGGAATGTGGATAAAGTTCTCAAGGTACCGATTTCCGCGAGTCCTATTCCTTTTATTCTTTTATTCGTCGTACATTACTTCTTTTTTATAGTAAAAATTTCGGCAGTTCTTGCTTATTTTCGAATTTTTTCTCTGCCACACCTGGGGGTGCTGTGAACAGTGAGTAAACACTGGTTTTAAAGTTTGATGGACAGCTGACAGGCCTCGTGGAACGCGCCAAATTTATTAGTTGAGCACTTCCAGTGTGAGTCATCGGCCAACCCATACTTTCTTGGCTCTCCTGTTTAGTTCAAATGATGTACTTGAAAAAAGGAAAGTGAACTTTGGTTGCCACTGATGAAGCCATCTGTTTGCTTGCTTTTTCCAGAAATCCGTCTTTTTGTCTAATTTAATGTATTAGTTAAAATTTTTCAGACCTTCGTCGCTGCCTAATTTCATTGAAAGGTTTTTCTAGTAGAACAAAGATTAATCTAATAAAGTGTACAGATGAAAATTAAGAGTATCCAAAGGGCACTTTTTGAAGTTCAGGAAGGGTTCTTTTGCTTGCATTTTCATGACAATCAATAATGGCATGAAATCTGCTCACTAAAATTGAGCGGTTCATCGTTATCTCGCAAACGAAGAAAAGTCTTACAAAAATCTATTATCTATCGACTAATTCTGTCGTTCAAATCCGGGTATAAATGAGATGGTTTGTAAAATTATCAAGTCGTTCGTGAGTTTTTTTATGTTTCAGGCAAAGATAAAAACTACGGCTAGATCATACTAGCGTGCGCTTAATCGCTTCTCTACGTACGTAAAATTCAAATCTGTAACTATGACAACTAATTATATTCTTACAAGCATATTCTTGACCGTATATCTCAATTTGTTTTTTTGCATCCATGCAGTGCAAAAACGCATACTGTCGAAGGGTTATCTGTCTGTGTTTGTGTGTCTGTGTGTTCGCCTGTGCCGATTTTTTATCTCGAAACCCACAAAAGCTACAAAGCCAAAACTTTGGGAATTTAATCTACACGCAAGTGCGAGCCCCTACCTCCTAAAATGGGCACTCTTGCCCACGTGTTTCCCACGTAGGGGCTGCCAAAGCTTTAGGCAGGTAAACTGCTAATTTGGGAGTCAGAAAAGTAAGAAAGCTGAAATTTTAAAGAAATTTCCCTCGCCCACGCAGAACGTAACGAGTTCAAACCGAGCCGCCTGGCGTGCATGATTCCCACGTAAAAGTTTTCGGTAGGTAAGTTGCTAACTCGAAAACCAACGAAGCTAGAAGGCTGAAATTTTAAAGGAATGTTTTCTGACAGCCCTGGTGGCCAGTCTCATTTTTTATGCGTTTTTGCTGTGCAGCGCTACGGCGCTGCTACAGCCAGCGAAAACGCATACTGTCGAGAGGCTGTCTGTGTGTGTGTGTGTGTGTGGGTGTGTGCGCAAAGCGAGTGCATTTTGTCACCCACTTTCAACTCGGCAACAGGGAAAGCTGGAGGGCTGAAAT